CCCCAAAACCCCAAAACCCCATACAATATAAATTGTATTTAATTTAAATTTTTTTATAATTTTTAATTGACGTCATTTTATTTGTTATAGAATAGTTTAATAATTAACTGTATATGAATAGCATATAGAGAAATTCACAAAACTTCAATTTAATTCATTTTCATCTTTAAATCAAGCCTCATATGGAGAGAGATCAGTGTAACCGAGAGCTGTATTACCGTAGAAGTAGACAGCTTAGAGCTTTGACATATCTTTTACGTTTTGAAGACCGCGAAGAGGTGTACCATTCTTAAATCTTTGAACTAAGTCATTGTTGCAAACGAAGTGTGTTCCAAAGGAGACTAGTTCAGCCTTACCCTCTTAAATAACTTGAGTAGCAGAGTCGTATTCATGCTTGAAGTTTGAGATGTAGGTACCCTTAAAGTGAGGTTTGAGTATCTCTCTTACAGTTTTTTTAGTTTGATTTGCAAGGTGCTTAACTAACTTTGTTGCATGATCAGCAGCATCAAATGAGATACCCTCATTTACTTCAACAAAAGCGATTCCTTTCTTACTTGCCTACTCCAAAAGATATGTGAAAAGTTCGAATGGGTTAGAGTCAGACATACCATTGTATTCATTAAGAGGTGAAATCTTCATTCCAACTCTTCCCTTTCCAAATACTGCAACTAGTTAATCGAGGATTTCAAGAGTTAATCTGCATCTATTCTAGATTGATCCACCATAGTCGTCTGTTCTCTTGTTCACACAGTCTCTAAGGAACTAGTCAACAATATATCCATGACCAGCATGCAATTCAATACCGTCAAAACCTGCCTTCTTGGCATTTTCAGCTCCATGTCTGAAGGCTTTTATTAGTTCTTAGATTTCTGCTATTGTTGCCTCCTTTGGAACAACTAGCTGCTCCTTTCCATTCATAGTATAAACTGATTCATTTAGAGCAACTGGAGAAGATGAGAGAGGAGTGACACCTCCAATCTGGCTAGGGTGAGCTGATCTACCAGCATGCCAAATTTAGAGATAGATCTTCCCACCTTTATCATGAACTGCCTTTGTAACTTTTTTCCATCCTTCAACTTAAGCATCAGAGTAAATGCCAGCAGATCCTGGGAAACAATCTCCATCGACTCTGCAAGAAGTACATTCAGTTAGAATAAATCCAGCATCAGCTCTAGCTGAGTAATATTCGACTAGGAGGTTATTTGGAATCTTATCAGCTGGATTAGTTCTGCATCTAGTTAGTGCTGCCATTACTATTCTATTTTGTAGGACAACATCACCCATCTTGTAAGAAGTGAAGAGTGCTGGAGTCTTATCTATAAATGACGTGTTAAGATATATGACGAGGAATTAAAAATAAAAGTCCATTGCTTTAAAGTTTTTTAATGATGCTAAATATTATCAAAGCATCAAGCAATAGACCAAGGCCACATTGTAACTTAATTAGATTATACTTACTATTTAAGGATTTAGGTTATTGTGGATTTGAAGAAGTGCAACCCATCTAATTAGCTGTTGTTTAATAAAATTTTAATTTAAGTATTTAAAATGATTGATAGTTGCTTATTTATATTCAAAATAAATGACGACATTAAGATTTGAGCCACACAAATTGCAGTTTTCTCTATTTCACAGGGGTTTTGGGGTTTTGGGGTTTTGGGGAGATCGGAAGAGCACAC